TCTCTCTCTCTCTCTCTCTCTCTCTCTCTCTCTCTCTCTCATTCTCTCTCTCTCTCTCTCCCTCCCTCCGCCCCAATGAATTATTTTCTCTTTTCAGGACGTTGGTTTGTTTTGGTGCCAACAAAAATCTTTCTCATACCTTGATCTCTCACAAATACAAAGTCGTATTCTGGTACCCAGTTAAGTTATCATCTCCTAGTGGGTATAGTTGTTACCTCTTTACCATCATACCCCTTTCTATCTCCTAGAATGAGGCATTAATGGAGCCCCTTGAGCATACATTCTGATCATAATGTCTTGTTTTGTTCTTACAGATGTGGTTGGTAATATTTCCAGAGGGAACTCGCTTTAATCCGGAATTGCCTAACGTAATTGAGGAGAGTAAACAGTTTACTCAGAGTCAGGGTAAGCAATTTTCTATAGTGAATTAACTGTTATGAATAAGTTTTATTGTGTTTTCTTTGGACTTAAAAGCTTTAAAGAATTAAGATTGTATTGTAACATAAAGAAAGAGGAAGGTGAGGTCAAGTTAAAGTTAATGAAATTACTTCTTTCTTCCTGCAGCTTGGCAAAGAAACAACTTTTCTTTCCAAAACATTCTTTAACATTCCTTGAACAGAAGTGAATGCCAGGCTTTGGTTTAGATCTTAAGTAAGTTTGGTCTTTCCTGCTGCCAGTTTTCTTTTATCATAGATTGGTTTTGGGATTTTAAGAGAAAAAAAACAACTTTTTTTGCCTATATTAGAGAATCAAAAACATTTTACAATATTGCCCCTATGAAAATTTCATGCTTAAATTTGCATTAATATTTCACCTTTGTTGGAAGAAGTTGTTGGGTTTTTCAGCGTCTGCATTTTTTGTTCTTTTGTGAAAGTGTGTTTCAGTTGCCATGTTTTCTTTTGAAATGAAATTTTACCAACTTTTCAAGGTATTCCAGACTACTTTAAAGCAAATGTAATGAGACATAATTCCTTGATGATTTAGGTCAATCTATTCGATTGATATTGTTGCTCTGCAACACTATCTTTGAAACTCTCATTATTCATGACTAAAGAAATAGTCAAGGAACAGTGATGCTGTACCCTGTCATACACTCTCATCCTTACAAACGCCACAAATAATTTGTAATGGCAGGCCATCGAAATATGTCTACACCATGACAAGATGATCATGTAGTCAATGCACATGATGCATACCTTAACTAAAGTGCCCAGATTGTATTGCATGACTAAAATGGCGCTCATGGCACAGTGGTTAGGCTCCTGGACTCACAACCACACAGTGATGGGTTCAAATCCCGTCAGGGGCCTGTCGTTGTGTCCTTGGGAAAAGCTCTTTCAACCGATTTTCCCCATTCACCCAGGTGGAAATGGATACCCAGCTATAGACCGTGAAAAATCTTGTCAGTTTGTGAGTGTTAAAGCGCGTGAAATCAGCAGCTTGCACTGTATGCTTCCCGGGAAGCAGAGAATGTTTCTGAGTATTCTAGGATCTGCTGGGGTGATAAAAGCTGTAAAGCGCATAGAGCACGCTGTAGAACACAAATAAGTGCTAAATAAATGCAATTATTATCATTGTTATTAAAATTACAATGTCTTTTGCTTTTCAGGCCTGGAACCCCTGAATACTGTCCTCTACCCACGGATACGAGCCGTACAAGTCTGTGTGGAGCAGCTGAGGAACTCCGTAGAGTCGCTCTATGACGTGACTCTGGCGTACAGCAACACATTTGACTATGATAAAGGGCAACGTCGGCCTTCTCCTACAATGCAAGGTATCTGCAGATCGCTTCTATTGGGGGGGGGGGGGGAGGGGGGGGGTTGTTTGAAGTGTGTGTATCCACAAACTACTTCAAGGTCAAGGGGGGGATATGATCCTTGTTTACTTTTTTTAATGTGCAGACTTATTCAATAAGGATGACGGTTTTTATGTTGTTGTTTTTTTTGGAGTTTGTGCATCTGCAGATTTCCTTCATGGAAATGTGGTTTTTGTTTATGTGTGAAATATCTACCAATTTGCTTAATCAATAAAAAAAAACCCAATGAAAGTAAAAAGAGGCACAGGTTGCGTTAAGAAGACAATCTTAAAATCCAGTAGCAAGAACAAAGAGTAAAACAAAATTACATTCTGGTGCAGAGAAAAGATAAAAGAACAAATGTGTAAAAAGCGTTTCAAATAGTTTGAAAATGAAATAACAACCTTTTCGTGTATAAATTTAGAAGTTCAGGCCCCGTGAGAACTGTAGTGCATGAATCAGGCCTCGTCAATTTTTTTGCATTTGGAGTTATTGGTATTGTCTTAAAGCTTGTTCATTTGTCTTGCTTTCGTTGAAAAAATTCTAAATTATCTTAAATAGAAGTCAAGATATTTGTAATTGAAGGAGGTGAGGGTTGCCTGGTTTCAGTTGTAAAATTAGCGAGAAAATGGCCGCCAAAGTTTGGTGACTACCATAGCTTGAGAGTACTGGGGGGCTGATAATTCACTTTTTTTTTGTTCCTTTAATCAATGTTTTTCAGTAAAATCCTCTCTTAAATGTGTTTTAAAATGAACATAAAAGATGTTGAGCTAAAATACAAAAATTTGAGACAAACTGGCTGAAAAATGCCAATATAATCTTTGGTTTCATTATTTTGACGAGCACCTGATCTCAACTCGATGCCACACCTATTATTTTCTCCTCGTAGATACTAGTTTTTGTCTTTTTTCTCGTCGTCTTCGGGGCAACTTGAATAAACTCTCGCTAACCCCCTGGGGCGGTGCTACTGACTGGAGTGTCTTTAGGCCATTCCCAAAGGGGAGACATTAACATGTTCTTATGCACAGTAGAATTGTAAATGGGCTGATTCATCAATGTCATACTTATAACTGTGCCTGAACTGCAACAGGGAGCTGCTGTTTTTTCTTTCCTACTCCTTACTATTGTCATTTTTCCTCTTCTTCTTTTGTTTGTTTGTCACAGTCTTGTGACTTGCTATTTCCGGGGTGCCTTGATAGTCGAAGCAGACTATGTGCTGTTGAAGCTGGAGAGGTGAGTAGAGTAAATCTGATTCCCTGTAAGGACTTCTCTGTTGACATCCACCCGTTGGCGCTCATATGACCTTATGCAGTTGCGAGCGCCGTAAAACCTCTACTAAAACAAACAAAACAAAAAACTCTCGCTTTGTGGGCCTTTATGAGCATTGGTTGAATTTGTTTTACTTTACTCCCATAAGGAAAATTTAATTTTCAATTTTGTCCCCACCTAGACTTCCTCATGGGCCATTCTCAACGTGTTCATGTCCACATCCAACGCATTCCCATCTCTGATGTACCTTCTGAACCCGAAGAGCTGAAGACATGGCTGTACCAGAGGTTTCAAGAAAAGGAAAAGTGCGTCACTTCTACGTGTTTGAGTGAATCTACGTTTCTTATGCTGTTAATGTGTCAGTCACTCTTGAATGTTGCTGGGGAAATGTTTCATTCACACTTGACTGAAAGATCTTTTTGTGTCTTAATATTTTTATGATTCCGTTAAAATAATGAAGATGTCTTTTACTGTAAAGAGTAAATTATTCATTTTGAGAACTCTTTTGTTTGAAGAGCTGTCAGACAAAAAACTTTTACTCATCCTTTTCATCCTAAACTTTAATGTTATACCCTGTTTGTCAAAGTTCAAGTTTATGAGCAATGGACAGAGTTGAAAAGGGTATTCATATGATCCTTTTCGAATATTTGACTGTGGTAGACCTGAGACACATTTTTCTTTTCTTTGCTTGGTAGTACCTGGAAATTCCTGTCATGTTTTTGGGCTCCTAACTTGATGTCATAGTTGTTGTCTGAGCAGCCTTCAAATATAGCAAGTAAAAAAAAAGCGTACAGTTTAATACACTAAAAATTTTGTGGGCTAACATTATATTATGAAATATGGATGTCCTTACTAGACGAAACTTTTTATCTGAGGAATTTTGTATTTAATATAATAATAAAACTAGACATAGACTCTTGAATTGAGACTGTTCAAGAATGTAAATGTAGTCAGCTGGGCCAACCGGGCGTCATACTCAAACAAAATAAGCAGTTCTGTTTCTGCGGATGAGAAATGAATCAAAGGTAGGTGCATAATGTTTGAGTTTGAGGTTGAGAATGGGGAGGAGTGAGTGAACCTTTTCACGGGAATGATTATTGTTTGCATAAAAAATAAATTTAAAAAAATATTTTGTACAATTTGGATTTATGAGTAATTGTACAGTTCTTGGTTTGGACATTGAGCCTCTTAAAAAAAAAAAATTAAGTTATGTCTTTCCTAGATATTACAGACTACCTCGAGAGAGTTAAATTCAAACCTATGACAGACTACTCTGCTGTCATTTTGATAAGCCCGTCTTCCTCTTTCCACAGATTGTTGAATTATTTCTACTCAGCTCCTTCGGACAAGGAAGCAAAGTTTCCCGGTGAAGCCATAACAAAGCCTTTACCTCTGACGTATGTTCTTCCCTCCTTCCTGTTATGGGGTGGAGCATTCGCTGTGGCTAATTGGTTCAAGCAGTCCCGAGATCTGTACTGGAAGGCGGGGTCGATTATTGGCTGTGCTGGTCTTATATGGATGGGAATTCATCGCTAACAGCTGTTTGTGACATAGTTATGATCTTTATGCAAGGGACTCTTAGCCGGAGGGTTCCGTCTTTAATAAATTGCAAAGTTCATAGAGCCTACTCTTTAGTTGAGATGTGTGCTTTATAAATGCAATCTGTTATTATTATTATTGATACATAATCTTTTTGTTCTGGAGCTTCCTCTGACTAGTTTTAGCTGCCTCTGCATGCCAGACTCCCTAATGCCCTCAGGGCAGATTCATCATATATACCGGTTTAGTCTCTTATAAGATGACAGGAGCTTTTAGATTCAAACTAAGTATGAGAGATTGGGATTTTTGCTGTCTTCATCCAATGCTAGTCATTTTGTAAATTTGTTTTGGTAAAAGAATGCAAATAAGGTTTGCTCTGGATATGTAGACAGTATACAATATCTTTGTGTAAGCAACAACTGACTTTTAGGTTTATAAAAAGAGGGACTGCTTTATCTGTGGCGTATTCAAAGTATTGCTATAGTCTTAAGCGCATGATCAGTGACGTGAATGTTTTTTTGACTGTCTGTCTGTCTGTCTGTAAAGTTTTTAAATTAGGACGAGTGAGAGATTGAGTTGAAAAATGGCATAAACTGTTCTATTTTTCTATCTGTGTACAAATTCTCATATGTTGTGGGTTGAGCTTGGCTATTTATAATGTATATTTTGTACATATTACTTTAGGTGAACACAATTTTATTTGGAAGAACGTTTTGTCTGAATTTGTGGCCTACTGCAGAAGATATGAAGGGACAAAAATGCTTAGGGTTGTAATAGTACGAATGACTAGTATTATTTTTTATGCGTTTTTATGTTCCCCTCAAGTTTAGTGGATAGTGTGGCAGTGACAGTAAAAAAAAATGTGTCCATTGATATCCAAGCATTTTTCAATGTGGCTATTATACAGCTGATAATTTTATCAGATAATATTACTAATATCTACCTTTTTAAAAAATTTGACGTGAGCGTGTTTTTGGCCTTTTGCATGCTTTGTTGAGATGAAGAATTTACATTTTGTTTCTGAGATGAATGTTACTTGTGTATGATCAGAAAGTATGGAGTGTTTGCAAATCTTCTGTGCATTTACTATCATTTCTTTGTCATCTCTCTGTGTCTTTTTCTGACACTACAACAAACAAACAAGAGATGTGACTATTGTGAGTAGTTAATGGTGAGCTGTACACTGAATCTGATCACAGCAAGGATTATCTATGTAGATGCAGCATACTGTACATTTAAGTTTAAGAGAACAATGGCATGTTCTGGGGACAACGAAAATTTGAATGTTGATAGACAAATGTTTTTTTTTATGGAGCTGTGGATAAAGTGTGTTAGCTGTTTCCCATTATGTTTCATGTCATGGATACTGAGATCCGAATTATTATTTTTGTGTGTGTGTGCTTCCCGGAATGATTCCGTTCAGTCTGCTGTCCTGCTAGAGGACTTGAGTTTTTCCGTTGAAATTCCCTGGATGTGGTCCAACGGGTTGTTAAATTTATCAGCAAATACTGCTTTCCCTTTCTCAAATTGACTTATAAATGGGAAAAGTAATGTAATAATATAGACAAAAAAAAGGAAAAACAATTTTTTGGGTTTATATAAATATCTTATCTTTATTGCTGTTTTTTTATACAGAGAGTATTACATTGTTTACAATTATCAATCGCTCAGTTGCTCATCCTGCAAACCCTTGTGATGTTTATATAATAAGCATGAGTTTGCGGATTGAGCCAGAATTCTCTTTGGACCAATGTTCATTGATGCTTTTTCTGATGCAACACAATACGCGAGCAGTGTTGCATACAGACGTAAGTCATTTTAAGCGGCCTTTGAGATACGTCTGTATGCAATACTGCCCGCGAATACATGTATGTAAACAAATCCATTGTCATTTATAGTCTCTAGACCTGTCGACTTGGTTATCTCATTGCTCGGAGGGGCTCAGGGTCAATGATGAACCTTTTCCAAGCCAAGGAAAGAGTTTTGGTTGAAGATCTGACATCTCACCTCTTTTTGATAAAAACGGTTGTACTGTTTTAAATAATTTACCCTTTCATGGAAATCAGATATCATAATCATGGTCACATGTTGTGCGACAGTTTTTGTTTGTTTGTTTTTAAAAAAAATGTTTTAATAGTTTCATGCAAAATGTGTTCAAATTGTCACAATTACAAGGGAATATCAATAAGTTTTTTACCTGAGTATGAAGGAGTGGAGCTACGAACTTTAAATTTTGTATGTAGACACTGATTTCTCTATGTAGTCACCAGCCGCAAGAACACATCTTTGCCAGCGATGAATGACCTTGAAAAGTCCTTTAGAAAAAAACGATCTCTTTGCCAGATGAATTCTGCTCTTTGGCTTTTTGGGGGGGTGGGGGAAGATGGTGTTTTCCATCGCATTGAAGCAGATTTTGACTCTGAGTCAAAGTGATAGACCCAGATTTCATCCAATGTTATAAAACGATCAAAAAAATTTTTCAGGATCTTCATCAAACATGTCAATCATTTGCTGACTGCACTGTGCTCTCTGTTCTTTTTGATGAGGGGTAAGGAGACGGGGCACCCATCTTGCAGACACTTTCGACATATTCAAATGGTTGTGAAGAATTGTCTCAACAGATCCATAGCTCAAGCCAGTTTCAGCACAAAGTTGTCCGAGAGTAACTCGCCTGTCATTCAGCACAATCTTATTGACTTTTGAAACATTGTCTTCAGTCACGGCTGAGACAGGGCGACCTTCTCAAGGGTTGTCTTCAATGGACATGTTACCACATTTGAATCGCTTGCACCAATATTTGACGTGGGTGGTTGGCGAGTGCTCTGGTGTGGTTTGCTTCTTCTTTTCTATCAAACGTCTATCGTCTTTATCTCCCCTCCTTCTTTTTTGTGTTTGTTACTCTCTTGTAACGCCTCTAATCTTTGGCACTTATATGACCTTATTGTGTTGCAAGTGCCGTAAAACTCTTACTAAAACTAAACAATATTTGACAACATCATAGCTTGGGCAGATATCTCCATACACCACTGACATTTCATCGTGTACAGACCGTGTTTTTTTCCTTGTAGAGGAAGGAACTTCATCCCAGCTCTCATTTCAATTTTTTCCATTTTGTGAAAAAAAAATGAAAAGTGCTAATCATGCTTTCAAGGGTGATGTTAAACTACCTGCTGTCAGTGATCGTACATCACAAGATGGTTCACTCAGCCAAAAAAGTGTCCGCGTAAGTCTGCTTATTGCTTCAGATGGGGCTGCAGTCTTTGTTTTGAAGCTCACTTTCGTTTTTCCAGAAGAAGAATAGGAAAAGCACCTCCTTGCGTGTGGAGATTGACTGCTGTTCGGGTTCGTTCCGTGCCAGAGTTTTAGTTTTAAAAAAATTTTCATGGCCTCTCGCCTCTCTTTCTAAAGTCAAATTAAACGAAGAAAACAGTCGCTAAGAGGTTTTTTGTCAGCGTAACCATTTTTAAAAAGCGTTCTTTCGAAATTTGAATTCTTATTTATTCAAAAACTTGTTAGTTTCACTTTGATTTTTTTCACCCAAGTAGGGTAACTCTGTTCACAAAGGGTGCGCATTTGCGAATAGGGCGCCACCGAATTTTGAGGACACTTTTAATTTGCTCAAAGAGAGGAGTGAACCATCTTGTTATGTATGATCATTGCCTCTGTATAATCTGAACTAACCATGAGAAATTCCCAATTATTGGTGTGCATTCTTAGTTTTGATCATGTATCTTGAACCTGTTCAAATTTCAAGTTCGTAGCTCCGCTCCTTCATACTTAGGTAAAAAACTGATTGATACCCCCTTGTATGTTTGCTGCACTAGACATGGAAAGTTGCCTATCATTTTACTATCAATAAATCATTTTGGAAGTGCCTCTTGTTTTGATAAAGTTTTGTTTCTCGACAGTGGTGATGTATTATTGAGAAGATTTTACAGTAAACAAAAAAAATTATTTTATTATTTGTCAGAAACTGACAGAGAAATAACGAACGGCTTGGAACATGAGGGGAAGAAGCCTGTAAATTTTGACTGTTAAGTTACAGTCCTTGTTACTCGATATAGCTTGTTGAAGAGACAAGTCATAAAATTTAATGTCTGTCTCTGATAAGATGATGTGGACAGCCTTTTCTTTCCAAAATAATTTGGATTTGGAAACTTGTATACAGGGTTCTGATGTTCATCTGTGTTCATATATGTATGTAAAAAGAAATGGTGAGAAAAATGTATGTACATTTATAGATCTCTCTGTCTCTCTCTCTGTTTCTCTCTCTCTCTCTCTCTCTCTCTAATCTCTTCCCTCTCTCACTCTCTCTCTCTCTCTCACTCTCTCTCTCTCACTCACACACACGCACTCTCCCTCTTTCTCTCTCTCTCTCTCACTCACACACACTACACACACACACACTCTCTCTCTCTCTCTCTCTTTCTCTCTCTCTCTCTCTCTCCCTCACACACACGCACTCTCCCTCTTTCTCTCTCTCTCTCTCACTCACACACACTACACACACACACTCTCTCCCTCTCTCTCTCTCTCTCTCTCTCTCTCTCTCTCTCTCTCTCTCTCTCTCTCCCTCACACACACACACACACAAAATACATGTACAGCCGAAACTGTCTAAGACAGCTTCTCTTTCTCAAGAAAAAAAGTGGCTGTCTTTTATAGGTGGGCGTGTTACACAGTATCTTCATAAATTATATGTAATTGATGGCCGTTTGTACAGTGAGTGTCTTCTACAGGTGGCTGTTACAGCAGGTTCGGGTGTATTTGGCTATATTCATCTCATGAACTTATTTCACATTTATTGCTCAGCCACGGGTTACGGAGAAACCCATCATCACAATCCACAATGTTACAATAATACTAGTACTTGCAGTCATTTCGTTGGTTAGGGGAGATGAAGCATAATGATAAATCATAAAGTGAAGACAAGCAGAAGTAACGGACAAGTGACACAGTCACGTGAGTCCGACCACATGTCTTCAAGTTCATCAAGGGATGTGTAACATTTCATTTAATTTGTAGATGTTTTATGACGAGAGGTCTAAATTAAAGAAGTGCTTGTCTTGGGTTGGTTTATCTTTAAGGCCCCTATCAACACTGAAAGGCAATTAAAGGTATCACCGCTGATTTAACATCGAAATCCTTGTGATTTTAGTATCGTTATTCATAGGTATAAGTTATAAGTACATTCAGTTGTGGAGGGAATAAACTTACAGTATATACATGTACAGGCGCACTATGAGATGTCTGTGGAATGCCGTATGTTCCAATATAAAATTAAATGGAAATGGACAGCAGCAATTTTTACAGAAAGAGCAAGTCTCAGTGGAGTTGTTCCATTTTGTTCGGGTTGTATCCTAGTAACATGATGTTTCCTTGAATACAATGTACTTGAATACTTTTTAAAGACTGGCTATTCAAACGAGTGTTTGGTTTTGTTCAGTCCGTGTCGATGTTAGAAGGCTTTCCTCACAGTAATGCTGCTGTTGTTTCATCCTGGGGTTGCCCATATCAAAATACATGTAGTGTAGATCCAATTTCTCATCATGTTTGCTCTTGATGGTTTTTGTTGAAGAAGCTGGAATTGATTTTACAATGAAATAAGAAAAAATCTGAAATGGTCATACTGGAATCTGAGTTTGTGGGATGCAGCCTCCATTGTAGCAGACCTGTGAATAGATAGATAAATAAGATCAGAATAATGATTTATGTAAAATAATTATGTGTCCTACATTTACTTGCATCAGATGTTCTAAATGAAATTGGAAACCTAGGCAGGTGGCTACTTTTTTATTTCTACTCTCAATCTGTTTCGAACTATCTTGCTTGCTTTTTTTTTCAGCACTCACGTAAGCATTCTTGATGGCTCACAGTGAAATTGTAAAGGCAGCCAATTGTAAATAGGAGGTGGTGTTTTATCTTCCTCTTCTTTTTTGCGTTCCCCCCGCTAGATCTCAGGGGTAGTCGACTACTGGTTCTTCAACCTGCAGTGTATCTGATGTTTATGTATGCGACCGTTTTTCTTACTAAGTAAGACCCCTTGCATCAGGCGGCCACATTCCGATTTTAAAGGTACTTTATTTTAAAAAAATTATACTGACCAAGTATTTTTAGTTGTGTAAGAATTTTTTTTGAATTTTGCCCAGGTGGCGGCCGAAGCCTACTCTTATTGATTGTAGAACCACCAAGGGATCTATAACGTGCACAACTTGCCCTTATGACCTCCGAGATTTTTTGCCCTTATCCGAGAAGGCTAGGTGTTCGATCTTATCCACCCTAAGATAAGAGATGTGGCTGAAAAACACCAGTAAGAAGGTGGTGTATTATTACCCTACAATAAATGACCAGCCTTGTGTAGTTTTTCTTTTCAAAAGAGTTAGAAATACATGTATTAATATTAGTATTATTCTCGTTGATATTTAGTGATGAGCTATCAGGAACGGTTACACATGTACAGTGTTTGAACTAACCTTCGCTAATTCGTGTCGTCATAAAAAGCTAATCTATGGAAATCGAGGGCGATGGTGTGCCTGTGACGATGTCAATAGTGGTACAAAAAAGCAACAGCAACGAAGGGGGAGGGGAGGGGGTATAGCCTACTAGTACATGTACATGTACACACTTACCCTTCCGCCCCCACAATAGGTGCCATCTGCGGCGGGCTCTTTGCTCGGGAATGGTTGAGACCACTTCTCACAACACAGTCGTCCGCACTGCTTCTCCAAAGGTACATTCTGTCAAAGTCAAAAGAGGGGTTTGGGACAAACTTATCCTTCATGCATCTTATCCATCTGTGTAAGAAAGTGACTTCTTCTTGATACTGGAAGGTCGTATAAGACAATTTCGATGGTACATTTATTGTGTGTGTGTTTGAGAGAGAGAGGGAGAGAGAGAGAGAGAGAGAGAGAGAGAGAGAGAGAGAGAGAGAGAGAGAGAGAGAGAGAGAGAGAGAGAGAGAAAGGAGATTGAAAGAGAGACAGATGGAGTGAGAGAGAGAGGAGATTGAAAGAGAGACTGGTGGAGAGAGAGAGAGAGAGAGAGATCTATGCATGTACATATTATTCTCACTGCTTTTCGTTTATCAATCTACGATTTAAATATAAAACACATTCATATCGATAAAATTAAGAAACGGCTGCCCCTTCGATCCAATGTAGTTTGGCAGAAACGTTTTCATACTTTGAAGATTTGCTGCAAATTTGCCTGCTCACATTTGTGGTGTAGCGGTTAGGCTCTTTGCTGCCTCACACAGGAGACATTAGTTTGACTCGCTTGAGGAGAGGCTTGGCTTTTTTTTTCATCTTGTACTTCCGTCCGTCAACTAGGACGTTGCATCCCTTGGACTGGCCCTGGCTGGCATAATCAAAGCAACCCGTTTCTTAAATGACCTAAACTGTATTGATGGGAGCGTAAAACATAAAACATTGTATCAAGAATGGTCGCTTTTAAGCACATGTAAAGGGGCTATCCCGAAAAATGCTGTTGTGAGAAAATCGAAGGTACATGTAAAGGTTTTGGACTCTTTTTCAGTTTCTTTAAAAGACAAGGATAGTTTTTTCTATAACCAAACAATACAGACCAATGAAACCAAACTTCTCCTATAGGTAAGGCAATGCCCGCTTTTGGTGTAGGTCAAGATTTCTGGAAACCCCCGAAATCTGGGTTAGCCCGCTTGTCCTTAATTAATATTTTTTTAAAGCGACCAATTATACTTACTGAGCAAGGGACACCTCCGATGTAATGTCGGCACTGGTCCTCCAGGGGGAACACTTGACCAGGGAGTTTCCCAGGGAAGGCGTACCTGTCACTGGCCGGGCCACTGTCCGAGCTCATCAGGCATTCAGAGTACCACGTGCTGCAGAAAGGGATTTTCTTATTAACTCGTTGGGGACATGTATTCTGGTCATTTTGTGGGGCACTTTCAGAAAGAAAAATGCAAGCATGTATATACTTGGACTCGACATAAGGGCTTTGAATATCTTGCTCCCACCGGAAAGATAGAAGGCACTCGAGCAGGGACAGACTCAGAGAAACGTATTTGGAAAACCTGAACACACGAATGTACACATACCAACACACACTTACTCCCACACAAGCATACATAACATTTATTCTTACATCTTGAGAAACCTCACCATAAAACTGTCCCCGTGGTTTTATGCATCCCGCATAATTTAGCAAAATTTGTTAATTTTAGCACAATTTTTGATTATTTTCCTTTATCATGCTTTATTAAAAATTAACAGAATCGCATAATTTCACATTTTTGGGCTCAGTTTGCTTATACATGTAATTTCAGAATTTTTCTTGCATAAAACGACGGGGACAGGTAAGACCAATAGGTTTATTCTTGTAGCATCAACTTAGATTTGGTAGATTCACCCGTGTAGATGAGGATATTTATATAATATTCAATGATTGACGATTGCAATGTTCACAATGATGCCATTAAATTTGATCTCACCTCCC